CCAAGGCCCCAGTGGCTGCGTTCGCATACCTGGTCCACAGTATTTCGGCGCACCTCCCACACGCTTGGTGGTCCCATAGGGAGCCGCACCGAAGACCCAGATTGCAGGAATCTCATGCGTGATCGCGCCCATCTCCGCACACCCCTCACACGCTTCGTGGTTCCATAGGGAGCTTCACCGAAGGCTCAAATGGAAGGATCGATGCTTGATCGCGCCCAGTCTTCGTGGCCCCATAGGGAGCCTCACCGAAGGCCCCAGTGGCAAGAAAAAACATGCGTGCCCGCGCCCATTTCGGATCACTCCTCACACGCTTCGTGGCCCCATTGGGAACTCCGCCGAAAGCCCCAGCGGCTGCGTTCGCAAACCTGGTCCACACCCTTTCGGCGCACCCCTCACACGTTCGTGGCCCCACAGGGAACTGCACCCAAGGCGTCAGTGCGAGTGTCCGCATGCCTGGTCCACACTATTTCGGCACACACACCTCACACGCTTCGTGGCCCCATGGGAAGCTCCACCTAAGACCGCATCCTGGTCCGCACAATTTCGGCGCACCCCTCACACAAAATGTGGACCCATAGGGAACTCCACCTAAGGCGTCAGTGCCAGGGCCCGCATGCCTTCTCCACACTATGTCGGCACCATCCTCACACGTTTCGTGGCCCCATTGCCCCATAGATAGCTTTACCGAAGTCTCCGCCGCCGGCTGCCCCCCCAAAGCTGCGCCGACAGACGCTCAGATCATCCGTAACGGGTCACCTCCAGATGAGACCCGATACGGCTGACTTCTGCGACCTCATCAGCAGCGCCGCTCCGTCCTTCCAACGCTCGCCTGAGTCCTTGTGCTAGCCCCCCATCCCTTTGTTTCCACCTGTCCTGCGGTACTCACACCTACACATGGTTGTGTCCCTGGCCAGGATAATGTGTCTGTCCTGCTTGGCGGCAAGCTCTTCTGGAATGCAAAGCAACAACATAAAAGGGGGCAGGGCAGATAGGGAAAAAGAGAGAGAGAGAGAGAGAGATGTAAATACAAAGACAAGGCAGAGACAGAGAGGCAAGAATGACAGGCAAGAAGTGGTTCTCAGGTCCCGCAGGAGGCGGAAGGCGAGGACGAGGCGGAAGTGGCGGAGGAGATGGACGAGGACAAAAAGGGAGAGGAGAGGGGGGGAAGGAGGAGAAGGGGGAAGAGGAAAACAGGCAGGAGAAGGCGGAGAAGAAGAAAGAGAAAGGGGAGGCGGAAGAGGAGAAAAAGGGAAGGGAAGAGGAAGAGGACGAGGAGGATTCAGAGAAGGAGAGAAAGGAGGGAGAAGGGGAAGGGGGAAGGGGGAGGATGAAGGAGGAGGAGGAGGTGGAGGAGCGGATGGCTGTCTGGCCGTGCCCTCCGCGAAGCGGTGTGACATCACATTGAACAGGCCGAAGATCATCACGATCATGCCGGTGAGGTATACTAAATCGAATTTGGCACCGTAACCACGGCTCAGGTGCGCTGGCAAAGATGAGCCAGCCGAGCTGGTGCAATCGCCGATCATGCAGCGGAACACCGTGAACATGCACGTGTTCAGCGAGCCTAGGAAAAGGAGCATCTGCGTAAACGTAGGCTGTCAGAGCTACGCGCGGATTTCTTGGATCGTCGGGGCGGCTCAAGAGGGGCCGCCAGGAGGGCGCAGCGCCAATCCAAGAAATCCGCGCGGAGCTACGACAAGTTATGTTTGTGGAGTTTGTTCTTCTCCGAGGGCCGCAGTACTCCTCCGCGTAGAGCTTGTGTGCCTCGCAGTCGGGGTCCGTTCCCACCATGGCGTTCACACCGTCGGCACGGCCGCATTTTGCGATCAAGACGTCCTCACCAGGAGCGGGGCCGATCACCACCCGAAGGGCGAGCGCCAACAGGGCCACCACGACCCAGAGGATGATCGATACCCAGAAGAGGGCCGGCGAGCCAAGCGCGAAGCCGACGAGCATGTTCGTGAGCTCGCGGATCATCGGTGAGCGCATGATCTTCAGGAGACGTGCAAGCCGCATGACCCGCAAAGAACGAACGACCAGCGAGAGCCTGCTCAAAGCCACATCTTCTGCCTGGGCCGCCAGGGTGACACAAACATCCCCAACCGACACGACCGTGAGAGCGATATCGAGCCAGTTCCAATATCGTTCCTGGCCGCACCAGAAGGTCCCCCAGCCGCAGAGCACAATCCTCAGGACCGAGTCTGTGACGAGGATGCCCGCGAAGAAGACCTCTAATACCACCCACCCTTCCCAATCAGGATCGGTCTCTGTGCTGGCACCAAGACAGACTATACTTGTGATTACAGTAATCGCGACCGTCACGTTTAAGACTGCTTCAATCCGACTCTTCCAAGCTGCCTTGGTCTTCCGTGCAGGATTGTGCGTGTCAAGGTCCACAGTCATTGCGGCTCGCTTTCGAGAGAGCTTGGCGATTACCTCCTCCACGTCCTGCTTCAGCAAAGCCTCTTGCATCTTATCGATGCCGCGAGAGATTGTTGGGTCCACCTGTTTCGGAAGGTCTGGCATCAGGATGGCACTCACAAAAGCTTCGAAGCTGATGCCAAATTGGGGATTCTGCAGACGCGATGAGAGTCGAGTCGACAGTATGCCTGAGAATCGCCCGCTGGCACAACCCTCGGTTTTCGTGCCGATGGATCGCCTGTGCGGGGAGACGCGAATCAGCTCCTGCAGGGCCTTCTCCAGGAAGCGGTCCTTGGTGTTCCGCAGGCCCCTCTTGGCCAGCACCGGCTTGAGATTCTCGGCGGTGACTGTGTACGTGTGCCCCTGCGACTCGCTCAGGCCGAACATGTCGAGGAAGCGCTCAGTCTGCCGCGCCCTGCTCGGGGATGGACAGACCCCCCTTTAGTAAAACGTGGTTTAGTGAAAACGACCTGAGGCCCAAACCTGGCGGGCGCAAGCCTGGAAAATAACGGCCACGGCGCCCTCTCGAGAACCGAAAACGGACAATTCACTAATCGACGTGTCACTGTTGGGGGTTCTGTCCACCCCCGACCTGCTCAGGTGCTCCCTCTCGTCGACCAGATCCGACTCCCACAGCAGGCTGCCGCGCTGCGCCCGCACGTGGCCCTGTGCCCCGCGCTCGCCGCCCCCCGGCGCGGGGCACTCTGCGGGCGCGACGGCGGGCGCAGCGCGCTCACCGCCCACGCCCAGGATCGGTGCACTGCCGCCGCCCTCCCCCGGCTGCCACATCACCTCGAACTCCAGCAGGTCCAGCAGCCCGCCTCCGGACGGCAGCGCCTCCGCCCTTCTCTCCCACCTCCCCGGCGGGAGGGAGCGGAACGGGACCCAGACGCTCCCCACGCTCCTCGGGGGCCGATCCTGGAAGAGAAGCCGCCATAAACATAACCTTTTGGCGCTCCGCGCGGGGATCTTGGATCTGCGCTGGAGCCCCCTCCCTGGCGCGCAGAACGCGCCAGGGGCGGCGCTGGAGGCGCCGCCGGGGGGCCCCAGCGCGGAACCCAGAAATCCGCGCAGAGCGCCGAAAGTTTATGCTTATCGCGTTTCTTCTTCTTCTTCTTCTTCGAGAGCCTCGCCCCGAGACTCCAGCACCCGAAGCTCCAGCGTGCCCTCCTGCGCCTGCACCCGCAGGCCCACCGCGAAGCCAGGCCACGCCGCGTCCAGGCCCCGCCGCAGCGGGGTGGTCGTGCGCGGGCCCGCCCCGACGCCCACCGAGACGAAGTACTCGGCGTGGAGGTCCGCTGTCTCCCCGGCCTTGCGGTGGGAACTCACTGCGAGGCGGGGAACATATCCCTATCCCTATCCCTATGCTGGGCATCTCCTCGTCACGACGCCAATCTTAGGGATTCTCTTATTTTTTGAGGGCGCATCTCTAAGATTGTCATCGCCTTTTGGCGTGTCAATCGTAGGGGTAGGGATAAGTTCGAGGCTGGTAAACTCATTGCGAGGCGGGGATTTATCCAGATCCACCGCCTGGGAACCGACATCGGGGTGCCCCAGCGGGCAGTGGATCTGGATATATGTTGGCCCCCAGGGGGCGCCGAGTATGTCCATGTCCACCGCCTGCCGAGGTCCCCGAAAATGGATCCTTCAGGCGGTGGTCATGTATGAACTCATGGGAGCCTTCCCACACCATCTTGTCGGCTCTTGCGGGTCGACGCTCACCGACGCCGGTCGACGCGGATCGAGGCTAGATCGACGCTCCCCGGCGCGGTATCTCGGCGATCCCCGGACGCTGCTCGGCGCTAGCCGGCGCAAAGATAGAATGGAGAGGGCACAGGGGACACGAGGCGCCCATGCTCTGCTGCCCAACAGCCCGGCTGCTCAGCTGGCGCGCCGCGAGCGCCCGAACGGTCAGCACGGCGCCCTGGTCCGCTCCGCCCCCGTCGCCGTCGGCCCCGTGCGGGCTGGCGGGCGGCAGCTGGCCCGGGACGCCGCCCTGGGCGCGGCCGCGCTCCCACAGGCCGCTGAGCTCCTTCCGCAGCCAGGAGACCTCCTCGGAGAGCCTGTCCCTGTGCTGCTCGAGGCTGCGGTGCTCGTGCGCGAGGCTGGAGAGCAGCTGCGGGAAGTCCATCGCGACGGCCACCCGGCACCGGAGGCCAGAAGCACGCTGGCGCTGGCGAGACAGGCGACCGCGGCAGTTTGGGGGGTATCGCCGCTGCGGGACGGGCAGCGCGGTCCCGAGCCAGACGGCTACAAGATCCAGTTGTCCGCGCGTGCCCCCGAGAGGCACGCCTCCGCGCTGCAATACTTTCGGGCGTCTCATGGAAGCGCCCCAGCGGGTACCTCCGGGCGCCTTCGGGCGCTGTGGGGAAGCACCCTGGGTAGGCAGCTCCGGGTGACTCAGGGAAGCCGCACTGGCAAGTACACGATCTCTCCCCAGACATGCGACGTCCTGATTTTTTCAGGACGGCGTCCCCAGAAGTCCCGACCCTTTCCCCGGGGCCGGTTTTTCATCCCGAGTCGTTTTTTGACGGTCCCGAGGCCCGGCGAGGGCCCCCAGGGGCCGAAAATAGCGAAAAACCTCCCGTCCTGATTTTTTCACGACGCCATCATGTCTGGGTCCGTCCCCGCCAAAGTCCGCCCAGGACAGACCGAGTCGCGTCCGCCGCGGTGGCGCTCGAGGCGCAGCGACCCTCCTCCTCCTCCTCCTCCTCCTCCTCCTCCTCCTCCTCCTCCTCCTCCTCCTCCTCCTCCTCGTCCTGCTCCTCCATCTCCTCCTCCTCCTCCTCCTCCTCCTCCTCCTCCTCCTCCTCCTCCTCCTCCTCCTTCCTCCTCCTCCTCCTCCTCCTGCTCCTCTCCATCTCCTCCTCTCCTCCTCCTCCTTCTCCTCCTCCTCCCTCCTCCTCCTCCTCCTCCTCCTCCTCCTCCTCCCTCCTCCTCCTCCTCCTCCTCCTCCTCCTCCTCCTCTACAATTACTCAGCCGCGGTGACGCTCGAGGCGGGCGCAGCGACCCTCGAGAGCGAGGGGCCCCACGACCATGGGGCCTTCACGGGAGAGATGTGGTCTCCAGCGCCGGCTCCGAGGTTGGAGATCCGAGCACAACGTCATATCCAAGCACATTCCTCCTCCTCCTCCTCCTCCCCTCCTCCTCCTCCTCCTCCTCCTCCTCTCCTCCTCCTCCCTCCTCCTCCTCCTCCTCCTCCTCCTCCTCCTCCTCCTCCTCCTCCTCCTCCTCCTCCTCCTCCTATGTTCGCTCCGAGATTGGAGATCCAAGCACACGTAAGATCCCAAGCACATGTTGGGAGGCCTGGAAATTGGCACCAACACCAAGACAGAGGGTTGCCTCCACAGGGGGAAGATGGTCCCAGATTTTCGGTGTCGGTGGCAACAGTTCGGCCACCTTGGAAGCCAGAATATTACCACCATCACCGAGATCGGGATCTTCTTCCCTCGGTGGAGGCACACCGCCGAAATTGGTGTTGGCGTCAATCTCTAGGCCTGCGACATGTTCACTCTCCTCGTCACATGTCCTCCATGCTCGCTCGCACCGAGACTCACAATTCTGCCGTCGGAAAACTGAGACTGCGGCACGGCCAATATTCTGTAGAGGAGGAGGAGAAGTGACATATCAGAATGGAGCTTGGCAAACTCATCGTAGATGGAGGGGCACCTCGAGTGCGTCGCAATTCTTCTCTGCAGTGCACCGCGGCCTCGTCTTGCGTGCAGGGGGACGGTCACTTGAAGGGGTTCACAAGAGAATCCGCAAGTGGCGTGTTTCTCGCCTGGGGGGAGGAACTTCAAGCACACAACAGCCCAATCATTGGCAGAGGAGCGGCAACTCCGAGTTCACCGCAGCCAGTTATGGCAACGGTGCGACCTCCAAATGCGCCGCCTATGCTGAGTGGAATATGAAGTGCGCCGCAACGCTGCACCCATGAGATCACTTAGGTCGATTTCGCCAACGGGCGCGGAGCCCGCGATCCTCGAGACTGTCGCGATCAGGAACACTTGTCTTGGGGGGCAGTCCCACAGCACCGCTAAAATGAAGTCGATACGCCCCACCACAGCTTGCGCAGCACGGACAAATTTGGGATGCCAGCAGTGCGAAGGAAGGCCAGGTCGACGATACCTCTGGCGAGGCCTGCTCGCCGAAAGCTGCACGAATGGCAACGCATAGCATGCCATATCATGATGTAGCGGCCCGAACTCAAGCTCGCATGATGAAGACCATGCCAGCAGCAGCTCCACGGAGGCTCCTGGAGACCAAGGCTCCTGTCGCAAGAACCTGACACCTCTTGGGGCAGGCTCAGATGTCATGGCTCGTGGGCTCGTGGGGCGAGGCCACGAAACCGCTTCCTCGATTTGGTGCGGTTTGTTCGATTACTCCTGATTTCGTAATACAGGGAGGGGGGTCTTATTTCGGGGGGGGGGGTCTCTTCCAGGCTATCTTGGAGGGCCTGGGGGGTCTGGGGACGATGTTTTGGAGGGTTCTCCCACGGGGGAGGTCTGAAATGGCTTGTCTTGGAGGGTCCAGACCCCCTCCCTTTTATTACGAAATCTGGTGTAGCGTGTCGCGGCGGTGGCCCCTGCGACACGACACGCCTTCAAAGCTCATGGCGAGTGGGTCTGCTTCGTGGGACGGGAGGCGGGGACAAGCTCGCACCGCTGATGCTCGGGGACCGGAACGTGCTCGGTTAGCGTGCCGGGCCGAATCGCGGCGGGTCAGAACTGGCGGCGCGGCACGCCGGGCAAACGTTCCTGACCGTAACAGGGGCGCACCATCTCTGGGGGATCGGGTTCCCCAGGCACTTGACCGCCAGGTGTGGGGGCAGAGGAACACACAGGGAGGAGGGAGGAGGGAGGAGGGAGGAGGGAGGAGGGAGGAGGGAGGAGGGAGGAGGAGGAGGGAGGAGAGGAGGAGGAGGAGGAGGGATGAGGAGGAGGAGGAGGAGGAGGAGGAGGGATCCGATCTTCCTGCATGGGGGGGAGCTCCACGTCTGCCGCGCGGCAGCTCGGCGCGGCACAGATGGTCTCACCGGGCAGAGGCAGGGCCCCCCCCCTGGTGCGCCGCTGCTCTGCTGTGGCGGGGGAGGGGACTGAATTCGAGGATCGCCTCAGCCCGTCCACTCCAAGGGAAAACGTCGTGCCAGCAGCAGAAGGAAGGACCCACGATGATGGCGCAGTACAGTTTAAAGTTCGCAGATGGAACCTATCAGGCGACGCACAGTGCACAGAATTCACTCCTGGACCCCAAACACACGTCAGACTGCTCTCAGCGGCCGTGACAAGTTGGAGAAAACCCCCTGCCATTGCACAGCTGCACTAGCACCATCAGTTCCCTAGTTCATTGAAAAATTGTATGATGCAACTCGTGTGAGGCTGGGTCGCAAGCATCACGGATGAGCCCACGAGGGCCCCAAGAAGGCCCCAGGAGGCCTCAGAAGTTATCAGGACGGCCCGAAGAGCCTTCCAATGCAGCCAGATCGCTCCAAGATGGCCCAAGAGAGGCCCAAAAAGGCTTGTACATGGCCCAGCGGGCTCCCAAGACGGCTCAAGGAGCCCCCAAGAGGACTCGTAAGAAGCCCCAAAGACGTAAAACCATATATTGCCAAATGCGTTCGTATGATATGCTCAGCATGTTCGCACTTCAGAGCGCACAAGGCGGCACAAGAGGCCCCAAATATCGGCCCAAAAGCGAGCCCCGAAGGCGTCTGAGTTCTCCTAGAATGGCCCAGGACGGCCCAACAAGGGCCTAAAATGGCCCCAAGGGGGCCCCGAGACACCCCGAGAGGACACTGGAGGGGCTCCAGGCAGCCCATACGCACTAGATCAACAGCAGGAATAGCAACGTGCAGTGAGACAACAATTGCGCGTGCCGACTGGCATGAGGGACAAGGGGTCCTGATAAAAACGGGCCCTGGACCCCAGGGGTCTCCCAGGGACCAGAGTGTCGTCCCCTGACGGCCAAGGGGAGGGCCCAGATGAGCCCAAAGTGGGCGCAAAACCTGCCGAACCCCTTTCCTCCAAGACCCCAGACGTCGTGATGTTTCACGCCCCAGATCCCAAGAGATCTGGATCCCTTTCGCAAGGACGCCTTTTCACCTTGAGTCGTTCGTTGACGGTCACGGGGCAACCCCTGCCGTCGCGATTTACTCTCAGTACTCCTGTCATTGAAATACTTGTCAAAAATAAAATACTGCTTGCGCGACCTCCCCGTGCCTCTTCCCCATGCCTCGCTGTCTCATGCTTTCTGTCCTCTCGCGCTCGCCATGGGGGGCTGCCAAATGCGCAGATATCGCCACTTTCTTGAGCGCATGGGACATCCAGCGGAGTGATGCACCACCCACATCGCGTCAAGACTCGCGTTGCCCTGGGAGGCTGCCAACTGCGCAGCTGTCGCCACTTTCATGAGATCCTGGGACATCCAGCGGAGTGCAGTCCCACCCAGACCGCGTCGAAAGCTCGCGTCGCCCTTGGAGGCTGCCAACTGCACAACTGTCGCCAACGTGTGAGCTCCTGGGAGGTCCAGCGGTGTGGCGCACCACCCAAATCGCGTCGAGAGCTCGCATCGCCCTAGGGGGCTGGGGACACCCAGCGGAGTGGTGCACCACCCGGATCGCGTCGAGAGCTCGCGGCGCCCTAGGGGGCTGCCGACTGCGCAATTGCCGCCACTTTCGTGATCTCCTGTGAGGTCCAGTGGAGCGCGGTCCCGCGCAGATCGCGTCGAGAGCTCGCGGCGTCCTTGGGGGGAGGGCCTGCCAACTGCGCAACTGCCGCCACTCTGTGCGCCGAATGAGGCCTCGCCTCCCTGGCGACTGCACGCGAGGATGGGTGTCAAAGCCTGACTCCACTGCTGTCCTGGGGCGCGTTCCATCGAGAATTTCGAGGCGGATCCAGCCGCGGCGCGGGGACCCCAAGAAGGCCCAGAAGGGCTCGAAGGGAACTCAAAATCCTCGATCCTCGATTTTCGAAGCGTCCCGAACGACGGAATGTCTGGGAGGTCCGGTGGCGCTTTCCCAGCCATGCGAGCTTAGACGGCCAGTGATATGATTGTTCCCATCCGCTGGCACCTAAGGTTTCGACCCTTTCCTGCGGCGGTGTCGTGTCGTCGAGCGCATGGCCCTGTTATGT